AACAGCAGACTCAATGTTTTCTTCTCCACCATAGGAAAAAATCTAGCGAACAAAATACCAAGCTCAAACACCCCTCCATCAGACTACCTTATAGGTACCTACCCAAATACACTATTCCTAGCTCCAACCAACCCACCAGAGGTCTCACTCATCATCAACACCCTTAAAAATAAGGCACGAGACAAACAACTTGCCTGCTTTTATGTACAAAAAAGCTTCTCAAGTATTGTCACCAATTATTGCAACACTTTAACAAAGTCACTGAATCATCTCCCTTCCCAACAATCCTCAAAATAGCGAGGGTCACTCTGATCCATAAAGGAGGTGACCAAGCTGACTTGAATAACTATAGACCAATATCTAACTTACCACTGCTCTTGTAGACAGCCTGTACTGTTTGCACAGACAGCCTATGCTGTCTGCCAGCTTAGTTCATATTTCACGCCACTAAGGTGTTGCCCTCTGGGCCAGCCCAAAGCAAATGGGACGCTGGGCCCACACTCACTCAGCGGCCTAGCAGCAAGATACAAGAGTCCTTACTCTCGCTCACTCCCTCGTGGGATGGCCCTTCCCGGACCATGGGCACAAACACACAAGCCTGTGTACCCACCACGACTTTGCAAAGCAAGAAGAACCCTCCGCAGCTCTATAATTGACTCCATGCCACTGCATCTCACCAAAAACTCGTTATAAATGGTGGAAAGCGGTGGTCGCAGCAGTTGTGTTCACCCAGAGAGAAGGAAGGAAGAAATGAAGTTGTTCCCTTCATCCCCCTACACAACAAGCATTCGTCTCTCAACGAGTTATCCTGATGTCATGTCTGCACGTTTCAGCTTCCAGACACAGGTACAAGCAGGATCTAGGCGAAATTTGCCAAATATCTTCAAGAATTGTAAGTGGCATCCCAGTGACCCCATGCTACAGCATCCCACGCTGTTTCTCAAGTCACGTGTTCAGCATCACTTGTATGTCCTGCTGTTGTTCAGCTCAGCACAGCTATTTCAGCAAGCCAGAGGTGAGTTTTGTGGTGATTTCTGTGTCCAGTGTGAGTATTTCACCGTGTTGTGAGTTGGAGAGGAGGAAGTGGCCAGATCCTCCCTCGCCATACACTCACCCACGCTCGCCCTGCGGCACTCTCACACCTCACCAGCCTACCATACACCACTCACCACTGCCCACTCCCTCTGCAGTGTTTTCTGCTGTTTTTCATGTGAATTCATTGCCAGAGCTGTGTATCCGAGTGCCCGAGGCCACTTGAAGCCACGTAGATCAGCAAGCCACGTAGATCAGCAAGCCATGTGGATCAGGAAGCCATGTGGATCAGCAAGCCATGCAGATCAGCAAGCCATGTGGATCAGCATGCCACGTAGATCAGCAAGCCACTTGGACCAGCAAGCCACGTGGGTGTGGGCAATGTCAAGTGGATCTACAAGCCATGTGGGTTACCAAGCCAGATGTCCCAGGCCTCATGCTGTGGTCTGCTGCCCGCATCACATTGACGTCACCGATGCTGCTGCCTGACTTCATGACATCACGATGTCTGCCTGACATCACCTCGAGATGTCTGCTGATGTCATAGTGCTGCTGACATCACCTCGCAACATCACACCTGACATCACATGATGTCACATCAAGTGTTCTAGTAATTATTTCAGTATTGTCGAGAAGATTGAGAGAAGATATATGTCGTGTTAATTAATTCCTCTCAGTGTTCTCACATGTTAGTGTATAGCTTAGTGTCAGTTTTGTGCACAGAAAAGCATCTTTTTGCTAGTTTAAGCCATGTTGTACCGCATGTACCGCGGGTGTCTGTAAAGTTTTCAGTGAGTCCAGTGTGGTCTGCGCCCAGACCTGAGTAGCACCACTGTGTTAAGTCACCCAGTGTGACCAGCGTGTTTGACAGCTGATATTACTCAGCCCCCGAGCGACCAAGCCCTCTTGTACAGAAAGCTCTTATGCTCATCGCTCGTGATCTGCAGAATCATATCTGCTACGATTCCCATCAAGATTTGTTTCACTTCACCTCCAGACCTTCAGAGTGCAGTTATATGTAGAGAAACAAGTCTGGGGATGCTTAGACTAACCTCTGCTATAACTCCAACTGCCAAGAGAGTGACACTTGTCAAGCCACAGTTAGCCCTGTCGGCAGGCGCTGTGTCAGCCTCGTGTCACAAGCTTCAGTGAGCAGCCTGCACAAAGATGATGTCACTTTGACCGCTAGCTCACTCACTGCAGTCTGGTGTATGATGTTACAACTCCCAGATGTTTCGCCCAGTCATCTCTGCCACGACTCGCTCCACGACTCACTCCACGCTCGCCGGCAGTGACAGCCCAGCAACAGTACCAGTCGAGAAGTGTCCTCCTGAGTCGCTTGCCAGAAGTCCTGCCCAGGTGCCGAGTTTTGACGACACCTCATTCGAGGGCACCAGCATGTCGTGCCCCAGGTTGAGTGAAAACCTGCAGTGACTCCTACGATGACTGCTTCACCATTCCAGAGGAGACCGTACCCTGTTACATCACAGCTCAGCTGCAGCGATGTCTCCTGTGTTGCAGTATCTGTTCAGATGCAGGAAGGCATGCAGTGATGCCCATCGACGCTCACTGCATTTGTTTAGCACACCCCATATGTTTTTTTCTTCCCTCCCTGTAGGAAGTTTTTTTTTTCCATGTCCATATGTATATACATGTTTTTATTTTGTGTTCTGTGCCCTGTTCCTACGAGAGAGAGACCGAGTTTTTTTTACCACCAGAATTGTCGCATCGGGACGACGCGAGGTAGGTGGCCAAGCGTATGTAGACAGCCTGTACTGTCTGCACAGACGGCCTATGCTGTCTGCCAGCTTAGTTCATATTTTGCGCCACTAAGGTGTTGCCTTCTGGGCCAGCCCAAAGTGAGTGGGACGCTGGGCCCACACTCACTCAGCGGCCTAGCAGCAAGACACAAGAGTCCTTACTCTCGTTTTCTCCCTCGTGGGATGGCCCTTCCCGGGCCATGGGCACAAACACACAAGCCTGTGTACCCACCACGACATTGCAAATGAAGTAAGAAGCCTCGGAAGACGTTTATCATTGAACCCCACTGCATCATACCAAATAATCTCATTATATTCTCTAAAATCTTTGAAAAATTAATTCGTAGATGGATCTGTTCCTATCTCGTCTCACACAACATATTAAACCCTTGTCTGTTTGGATTCAGGAATAATAAAAGCACAAATGACGCTATCATACCCATGTTAGAACTAATATATACCGCACTCAAAAAGAAAGAAGTCCCGCTTGGAATATTCATTGATTTACATAAAGCTTATGATACAGTCGACCATGAACTGCTGTACTCTAAATTAACACACTCTGGTATCAGAGGCCACTCCCTCAACTACCTAAAGTCATACCTTAGTAGCAGAAGTCAATATGTGTACACAAATGGTGCAAATTCTTCCACCCAACCAATCACAGTAGGAATCCAACAGGGAAGTGTCCTTGGGCCACTCCTTTTTCTCATCTACATCAATGATCTACCGAATGCATCACAGCTACTCAAACCCACATTATTTGCAGATGACACTACATTATATGTCTCCCACCCAAACCCAGTCATACTCGCCAACACAGTCAATGCCGAATTGCAGAAAATATCTGCCTGGATGATGACTAATAAATCTATCCTGAATACTGATAAAGCCTATTTCATTCAGTTTGGAAACAAAGCTGCAAATGTTCCACTTAACATAACGCTAAACGGATCACCAGTCACAAGACTTACAGAGGGAAAATTCCTAGGTATCCACCTTGACAGTAGCCTTAAGTTCCATACACATATACAACAAATCACCAAGAAAATCTCAAAGGCTGTAGGCATACTATCAAAGATAAGGTGCTATGTTCCACAATCAGCTCTCCTGGCACTGTACCATTCACTCATATACCCTTATCTCACATATGGAATTTCTGCATGGGGATCAAAAACATTAAATCGCCTAAGACCTCTAATAACCCAGCAAAATGCAGCAGTCAGAATAACAAATTCTCAATCCCGCCAGCACACTCCACCAATTTTCAAAAGTCTAAATCTGCTCACCATACTTACTCATGTGCCTACTACATACGCAGAACAATACACGCAAATATAAACCCTCCACTCAAACTTCTCCTCACCAACCTTAACAGGACACATGACCACGACACAAGACACAGATCTCTGTGTAAAAACCCTATGCCCATAAAGGGCCCCAAAATATGGAATTCATTACCAGAAGATATTAAAGTAACCCGGTCTGAAAATCAATTTAAGACTCTTCTCAAAAGCCACTTTACCCTAGACTAAATGCTCAATACTCAATACGTATTCCCTTATCATAATTTCAATAATTAATTTTGAACCTATTATCCATTGTCGACAGGAATATAATTGTATCATTGTTTCACAGAAAGCATTTTTGAATATATGAATATATGTTTTGTTTTATATAGATCTACTGTACAACTATGATATAATTCTTAGTGTTAAGTAGCCAGTAAGCCAATAATGTTAAGTCGGCCCATAATGCCTAGGCATAATAGAGGCTCTATTTGCATTGCAACCCATTATTGTAAATACATAATCTCAATGTACTGTTTGCAAAGACATAAATAAGTAACAATATAATCCAGGATGGGTTATAACCACGTTTAAATTTTGTTTTTCCACTTGTGTAATTATTTCAGCCACGATGCTATTACTTGCTTTTATTCTTCTATCTCACTAAGTAACCAAGTTTTTATTTAACCGTGATACCGAAGTTTAAACTTACACAATGGTTTTACTCAGTAAATTATGCAGAATTTAACCCAGGATAACCTAATAAAGTCAATGTGATTTATTTCCATTTGGGATTACTTATCTGGTTAACTCGTCTGCAGTGATACGTAATAATAATGATGATAATTATAATATTTTTGCCAATAAATACTCGCATGAGATTTATTAATAAGTTCATTTTGTAAGGTATAATGAAGGAAAGTGTTAAAATAAGATAAGTAAGGCTGGTGTTCCAACAATGTTAGATCAGTGAGGAAAACAAATGGACGTCCTGTGAGGCAGCCGACCAGTAGACATCAAGTAATACATCGATTCTCCCTCCTGCTGGAGCTGTCTGGTGAGATATTTGTGACGTCAGCTTTGCGAATATTTAAGAAAAGAATCACTAGAAGTGATCTTTGGCTCATTTGAAGGTGACGGTGTTTGTACTGGGGCTAAAAACAGTGAGCGGCCGATGAGTTTTTTTTTCTTCGTTTTTTTTTATAGGTATATTGTTGTCTGGTTCACATATTATCATTTAGTTACACGTAACTTTGATGGTACTCCTTAAAATACCCAACAAAAAACTGGACTGCCAATAAGTGCTCGGAAGCCTTCCTAATATCACCATCAATTGACGTTTTCATATGTAATTGGTTTTATTTCTTATTTACGTTTCATGATTAATATTTATGATCTGGCATTTAGTAACTAAAATACAACTTAAATATATATACCATATTGTTCTTCTCAGACTTTTTGAAGTGCTGTATTTCAATATATTTTTTAGAATTAGATAATTGCTATTCCCGGTACAGAAAGTTTTGTGGTTAGTTCGATAAGATAAGATTTTTGTTAAGATTGTTACCCTAGTTGGTTATTAATGCAGGATAACACAGTAAAGGCCACAATTCATTGAGTACTGCCTTTATTTTCATTAGAGTGTCTTGTGTCTCAGGGGAAAAAAAATCAAGCATCCCAATGGAAATAAGTCAATTTGTTTGACTTCTTTTTTGTATCCTAGGTAATTTACACTATGTATGATGATTGTACTTATGTGTACCTGTACCTAGATAAACTTACACTCGAGTGTTCGTGGTTCAGTCCCTATCATGACACTGGTGGAAATGTTGGGCATGTTTCCTTATACCTGCTGATCCTCTTACCTAGCAGCGAGTAGATACCTGGGTATTGGTCGAGTGATGTGGCTCGCATCCTGGAGGACAAGATTAAAAGACCCCAGTGGAAATAAGACACAGTCAAAGACCTGGGAGTGATCATGTCGGAGGATCTCACCTTCAAGGACCATAACATTGTATCAATTGCAGCTGCCAGAAAAATGACAGGATGGATAATGAGAACCTTCAAAACTAGGGAGGCCAAGCCCATGATGACACTCTTCAGGTCACTTGTTCTATCTAGGCTGGAATATTGCTGCACACTAACAGCACCTTTCAAGGCAGGTGAAATTGCTGACCTAGAAAATGTACAGAGAACCTTCACGGCGCGCATAACGGAGATAAAACACCTCGATTACTGGGAGCGCTTGAGGTTCCTGAACCTGTATTCCCTGGAATGCAGGCGGGAGAGATACATGATTATATACACCTGGAAAATCCTAGAGGGACTAGTACCGAACTTGCACACGAAAATCACTCAATATGAAAGCAAAAGACTTGGCAGATGATGCAACATCCCCCCAATGAAAAGCAGGGGTGTCACTAGCACGTTAAGAGACCATACAATAAGTGTCAGGGGCCTGAGACTGTTTCACTGCCTCCCAGCATACATAAGGGGGATTACCAACAGACCCCTGACAGTCTTCAAGCTGGCACTAGACAAGCACCTAAAGTCGGTTCCTGACCAGCCAGGCTGTGGCTCGTACGTTGGTTTGCATGCAGCCAGCAGTAACAGCCTGGTTGATCAGGCTCTGATCCACCAGGAGGCCTGGGCGTTGACCCCCAGAACTCTCTCCAGGTAAACTCCAGGTAAACTTGCTGACTTTCTTGGATGGTTAGCCCTCCAGGTTAAAAATCCAAAAAAACTCACCTTGGTCCTTTTTCCCAGGATGCAGCTCAACATTCAACTAAAACCCAGGTTATGTACCTTTTTACTACTAGGTGAACAGAGGCAGCAGGTGTAAGGGAATTTACCCATGTCTCTCTCATACCATTGAGTGAATCCCAGTCTCTCCACTATCATCTGAGGTGCAAGCACCTCTGAGATGCCACTAACATCTGTGAGTGGTCATTATATATATTTTAGTTTCTGCTTTATATAGGCAATCTCTTCATAGGTAGCCTGCACATAGGAGACTGAAACTTACAATGATATTTTGGTCTGGCTTTTACCATTAACTAGTCACATAGGACCAAAATGTCAGCACCTGACCAGCTGGACTGTGGCTTGTACATTGGTTTGTGTGTGACTGACAGTAACAGCCTGGTTGATCAGGTCTTGATTCACCATGAGGCCTGTTAGGTAAGACACATATGCAACAGTTAGGTATCTTTATTTCGAAACGTTTCGCATACACAGTAGGCTTCTTCAGTCGAGTACAGGAAAGTTGATAGAAGCAGAAGAGACTTGAAGATGATGTAATCAGTCCATCACCCTTGAAGTTTTGAGGTGGTCAGTCCCTCAGTCTGGAGAAGAGTATTGTTCCATAGTCAGAAACAACATGGAGTAGAAGTGACAGGATGGAGCCTATATACCGCTCCATCCATATGGCTGGATTTGAGAGGGGCCTGACCTCCAAATGACTACATTCTTACCTCTACTAGTGGCCTACATCTCGCCTCCTGGCGGTATATAGGCTCCATCCTGTCACTTCTACTCCATGTTGTTTCTGACTATGGAACAATACTCTTCTCCAGACTGAGGGACTGACCACCTCAAAACTTCAAGGGTGATGGACTGATTACATCATCTTCAAGTCTCTTCTGCTTCTATCAACTTTCCTGTACTCGACTGAAGAAGCCTGCTGTGTATGCGAAACGTTTCAAAATAAAGATACCTAACTGTTGCATATGTATCTTGCCTAACAACCTGTCGGTATTTTATACCATTTTAACCCCTTCAGGGTCCAAGGCCAAAATCTTAAGTGGTGCTCCAGTGTCCAAGAAATTTTGAAAAAAAAAAAAAAAAAATTATATTTTCTTATAGAATTAAAGAGCATATTTTTGTGAAGGTAATAATACAAAAAAAAATTTCTGATCAGTACTTACTGAGATACAGTGCCAAGAAGTTTGTCCAAAATGATGTGGTGGCGGCAACATCGACGAATTCCACATACGCACATTACTTTATTTAGCGGTTTTTGTAGTTTTTTCTTTTCTTTTCCAATTTTTTTCTTTTCCTACTAACATTTGGGGCCTGAGAGACCAATACTGTATATAATGTATATATATAAACTCACTGTATTGAACACAATAACCGCACTAAAGTTATCATATTATTGATAAATTAGACACATGTGCAACACTTGGGTATCTTTATTGCGGAAACGTTTTGCCACATAGTGGCTTCATCAGTCCATACATAGGAGAAACTTGAAGAACAGGATGAGAATGAGGTAATCAGTCCCTCAACCTTGAGTCGATGTGTTCAGTCCATCAATCTTGAGTAGAATACTATTCGGTATATAACGTTTCCGCAATAAAGATACCCAAGTGTTGCACGTGTCTAATTTATCAACATGTCGGTTCTCTGAACCATTCATCTACAAACTTATCATATTATTGTTTACCACTGTTGTTTATTACAATAAACATGCACAAATCTTGTATAATGCTAATGTTCTATCATATATTTACATACTTACAATCACTGGACATGGTTTTAGAACTGCTGGAGCTTGTGGAACTCCTTGAAACAAGGCACCATACACAGAGGCACCTTACATACCTCACACATAAACCGAGTGTCTTTGCATCTTTGTTGCCGTTGTTTTGTTTGTGCACAGACGATGCATCTCTTCTGAGCAAATTTCTTCTGAGTTGAAGGAAGCTCTATTATGAAATGATCACCTTCCCTCCTCAAATGCTTGGGTATATCCTGAGGAATTCGAGGACCTTGTTGTATAGCAGGTGCTCTTACCTGGTACTTTATTATGAGTTGTCTGACAACAGACAAACAAAATTCACCATACGGTGGTCTGTTGCCAGTCTTTATTTGGTACATATTATATGCATTGAGCATTGAAATGCCCATAGATGGAAAAAAAGTTTCATGTACCACTTGTAACTCTTACGAACACAATCAACAAAACCAATCTGCATGTCACATTTGTCAACCAAGTGCATGTTTTGTGTATAATCAATCACTGTCACTGGTTTTCGAATACGTTCATTAGTAAATTCGTTCAATTTTTGCCACTGTCTTGCATTTCATTATGGTGAATGGTTGTCAACAATGTGACATCTCGTTTGTCATGCCACCGAAAATGCCATGATGTCATTGGCAGTAAACACCTGCACGTCATCACCACGAGCACCTGCGTTGAGCCTGGGCACATGTTTACGATTAGAACGCACTGTGCCACACACATCTGTCTTGTTCACTCCAAGTAATCAGTGAGTAATGGGCTTGTGTACCAGTTTATCGGTATATAATGTATGCCCCTTACCAAAATAAGGTGCCATCATTTTCTCACTACGTCACCTGAGATACCCAATAACATTTTGGTATTTTTTCAATGTTTTATTTCCCCGTGTATACAACAATATCCAACACCGGGCCCCATTTGTCACAGTCACAGAGTACAAACAGTTTTATACCAGAGCGTTTCCCCTCTTGCTCGGTATATACTGCTTGAATGACAGTCTCCCTTTTGAACAAAATCAAAGACTAGTCAATTACAAGATTCTTGAATGGATAAAAGTATAGCTAAAACTTTTGTTTGAGATACATAAAAACATTTCTATTTTTGTATAACCTGTCACTTCTGTCAGGCCTGGTTTTGTCAGAGAAGTGCAAAAATACTAACAGTAAGATAAACCTGTTCACTGGAGATTTCACTGAAGACCGGGGTAGAAATTAGCCGATCTGTGGACCAGTATGCTTTTATATTATGCTTATAGACATGAGGCATAAGCATTATTGTTGCAAAAAGCAAATACATTTCTGCAACAGTCGTCTCTTTCCACCGGTGTAGTCTTGACTGTGGTGATATGATCGTATTTGCCATGGTGTACTCAAAATACTTATTACTTTCCCTGACAATAGTTTCCATCAATGGCTGATCAAAGAATAATTCAAAGAATTTCAGTTCATTCCGTGATTCATTGGCCGTGGTGGGGCTTGGGAACAAAATTGGGATTTTGCTGCCATTCCCAGATACGGTTTGCTGTTGGATAC